TACAGAAATTAAAATTTTTATTTATATTACACATACATATCAGTTGAAACTAGGGTTGGTAGCAAAAGTATTTCTATTTACCTGGCAGTATTTCAGAAAAAGAGGATATTAATATTGTTTTTAAATTTTATTGTAAGTGAATTTTCCTTAGGTATACGATTGTTTATAGCCATCTTATTACATGTTCAATCATGAATTAATTTTACGTTGTAATATCGGTAATTATCTATACACTAATATTGTTTAGTTTAGAGTCTTAAATTATTCGATAACTTCAAATACTGAAGATAAAACAAGAGATTTTAGTGTGCAAAGCAGAACAGCATAAACGTAGAGTATTATATGTCTATTCTATGTCTATTTTCTTTTTCATTCTGTGTCATTTTTATCACAAAGCAGTGCTAAACAATACGATTTTATTGCACAATAAAATGTGTAGGAAATTTGTAATATAGATCAATGTAATCCAACTTTTCAAACAATTTGCTATTAAAATTGGTCTGTGATCAAAATAAAAATGTAATAATAATATAATAATTATATATCACAGATAAAATAAGTACTTTTTCTTAATTTACTTTATAATATAACTTATAATTTTGTATTATTTTTTAAATTATTTCTTTATTTAATTAATTATTTAAATATTTAATTGTTAGCTTTGAAAAGTAAAAGTGTCTCACGATTAAAGATTGCAAATAAACATTAGAATTATTATTCTACTTTAAATTAAAGTAAAATTTCATAGAATTCTGATTTTTTTAGATGGAGTTTAAATATCGAATAATATCGAAATTCAAAAAGTTATCAGAAATTATCTGTTCGCTTTTTTCGTTAAAGAAAAATTAATAAAGTTTCGCGAGAAATGACGTTATGTGTAAATTTTTCGTGAGTTCTAAAACGCTGAACACTATTATCGGTATCGTAATAAGAAATATATAGCGAACATTTGTCCTCTGCGTAAGCTAACATATTTTCACGATACATCCTTAATAATCTCCAATATCTCTAAAAAATATTGTTACATGCGGTATATGCGACGATTCGTTGTGCTCTGTAGTCTTTTCGATTTTAACGAAAATTGAACAACAACCCTAGAACCCCACGCTAAAGCTAGTAGCCTCGATTGAAGCTTCCACCCGGTCTTGGTTAGTCGAAGCGAGGATTCTCGTCGTAAGAGATCTGTGGTCTAAAACCGTGTTGCCAATCCGCGGTGTATCGCACAATTTGCGTTCTACCGTCCGGAAGTTGTACCTTATATTCACCGCGGGTGATTTCGCCGTCGCTAATTGCATTGTGAGAATAATCGTTGCCGAAAGCGTCCTCCTTCACGGCGTAGTTGAAGTCGAAGGGCATACCAGGTTCGTGATGATGATGATCATGCTGCAATACATCATCAGTTAAATACGGTGCTATATCTAAATATGTAACATATATGCATAATGTATACATAATATATGTATAATTTTACGTATACAAATCTTATATCATCTCATTCAGATAAGATTAAACAGTACAAAACGATTATTAATTTGAATAAAAAGTCATGCTTATACTTTTTATTGTAACTGAGAGATTATATCAATATATATCTTATCATGTATCTTACATTTTTCTACAAGAAGATACAAATATTTAGTACTTGGAATTCTTATGCGTTGAAACAATTTAAACAGTTTGAATAGTATGAATTTTAAGACTAAATTTGAAGACACATTTAACAGTTCGATCTGTTATTTTGACTTCAAGTCTAAAACAAAACAAGCAAAAGCTATTTATTTCCTTTTTTTTAAATGAATACTGTTTTTATTTAAATTTTCTTTTAGTTCGCTATACCTCCCATCTATCGATTCTTAAAATGACCAATTCTACTATAAATGGAAGAAAAAATAATTTTATCTTCTACGATTTCTGAATTACAGATTTCTTATTGAGCAAAGAACGTTACATATCCACCTATTCTGTAAATAATTAAATACAATTTTTTTTATTTGGCACAACAGCGTATACTTACACCAGGGCCGATAACATTTCCATCACCACCGGAAACTGGTTGGCCGGTATACTCCGGGAAAGTAGGTGTGGGTCTCGGTCCTGGTCCGGGGTAGGTGGGCGTCGGTCTGGGTCCGGGGAAAGACGGCGTCGGCCTGGGTCCGGGGAACGACGGCGTCGGCCTGGGTCCGGGGTACGACGGCGTCGGCCTGGGTCCGGGGAACGACGGCGTGGGTCTCGGTCTTGGTTCACCGTAGCTGGGCGTCGGCCGCGCCGGACCTCCGCCACCTGCGCCGAACTCTTTGATCTCTTTGATACCACCACCGCCAGTCCCGCCGCCGTGGCTACCTCCTCCGCCGAATTTGTCGAATTGTTTTTTCTTTCTTTCTTTATGCCCCGTATGGATTTCTGGTTCCGTCGGAGCCTGAGTACCACCCTTTCTATCAAGATGGAGTGGGGGACTCTCCGGGGAAAGAGTCGCCCTCTTGCTAAATGATAATCCGCCGAATCCACCACCACCGCCACCGCCACCACTTTCGAAAGCGCCGATCCCTCCGCCGCCTCCACCGCCGCCGCCGGGAGTACCGTAGCTACTGCTAGACTGGCTGTAAGAGTATCCGGCTTCCGGCCGCGCCATCGCCGTCGCGGCGAGCGCCAGAATCTATGATTGCGAATCGATTCAATTTTACTTTCCCGATGTTTAGATGTCAAAATAGATAATAGAGATTCTCGCCTCGATGTTCGAGCATTGTCTCGTGGTTTTTCTTTAAGGATATTTTAATATCTTTATGTTTGGTTCTAATTTTAATATACAATGTATACCTCGTTATTCCGCTTTCTCTTTCTATTCTTATTGTAATTTATTATATATATTATACAAAAATTATGCTACTGTTAAATTAAATACAGCCCATGAATAAGTCAAGATGAATTCATTAAAATCTCAATATTTCTCACATGACAGAGATATACACGTGCGAAAATATATATTATTTACCCTGGTGTACATTAATATAAACAGTTCCCACGCGTTCTTAATTAATAAATATGTAATAGATATATAGATCTCTCTCGAAGACAATGTAAATGCTTTCAAATTTTTCAAGTGAAATAATCCTCGGTATTCTTCTGCTCGTTCTTAAATTTCGGCAAACGAAGCAGTAAACGTATATATCTAGAGAATAAGCGGTAAAACGTTTCCGGAAGTGCACGGCGGTGGATTTACGAGCACGTGGAACGGTCACTATCATGGAGTACATTGACACCACATACAATACTCCCTGTGCACCTTCCCTTCTCTTTTACTTTCTCCCGCGTTTTCCGCGCCTCCCGCCCTCGGATGAAACCCCTCGTTCTCGGTCGTGAACGAACGACGAATTCTCTCCTTCTCTCTCTCTCTCTCTCTCTCTCTCTCTCTCTCTCTCTCTCTC